AAGTGGCGCTGTGGCTGAAGAGCTGAGGGACAGCACCCAGGCCCAGAGTTCAAGCCTCACGACCGACAAAAATAATAAAGACAATTTAGTGTCTCCCAGCTCAGCTCCAATTTGGGAGTCTTGGTGTGGATTTCTGAAGCAAGTGGGTCCTTTACCACCTTTAGAGCCCACTCTGGAAGGCTCATACACAAGAAACTGCTGCACAGGGGAAGATCTGAACCTGGGAGGAGGGAAGGTGATTTCCAGAGAGAAATGGGGCAGCCCTTGCATTCTTTTTCCTGAACCTTTTAGATCCTTTGGCCACCCTGCCACCCCTCAGGGCTAGAAAGTTGTTCTCCTGATAAATGATCAGAGCTCTGGGACCATAAAGAGAAGGTCGAGCAATCAGTGAGACTGTCTTCACCTTTAGAAGAGCGAAGTGCCTGCAGACTTTCCCTCAAAGTCTGCCTCAAGGAGCAGTGGTCTCCAGGGCTGTTTAGCTCGCCCAGCCCACATCCTCCTCACTCTGCCATGCTGTAGTGAGCATTGCTGGCCCTTTAAGGTTGCTCTGTGGCCTCAGACTCCCCACCCCCTCCGCCCTCCCTGCTTGGAAACCCCTAATTAAGGTACTGGGAGGAGTGAAAACAAGCAGCCTGGGACTGGGCTTACCTGGTAGGCTGCCCTGAGTGGAGGGATGGCTAAGCATGCTGGGAGCAGACAGCCGGGGAGAGCAGAAGAAGGGGTCAGAGCTCTACCCTCAGACCCTGGCAAGCTCTAGTATCAGAGTATGGGTAGTGTGGGTCCCAAAAAACACCCTTTTCATCTCAGTAAGTCTATCCTGGCCAGGTGTGGTGATGGCACACACCTATATGGAAGGAAGACTATGAGTTCAAGCCCATTTGGGTTATATAGCAAGAGCCTGTCTTAAAAAAAGAAAAAGCCAGGTGCCAGTGACTCATGCCTGTAAACCTAGTTACTCAGGAGGCTGAGATCTGAGGGTCATGGTTCAAAGCCATCCCAGGCAAGGAGGCTATGAGACCTTTATCTCCAATTAATGACAAAAACTAGAAGTGAAGCTGTACATGGCTCAAGTGGTAGAGCACCAGCCATTAGCAGGAGGAAAAAAGGCCAGTGAGAGTTTGAAGCATTCAAACCACAGTACCAACACACACACACACACACACACACACACAGTCCAAAAGAGAGAGAGAGAGAGAGAAATAGACCCCAAGCTGCATTTCTCCAAGCTTCTCTGGATTCAGTAGGATACAGGGTATGAATTTCAAAGCATAACCCTGCCTCTTCAGTTGACTTGTGGTTTTTTTGGAGGGTCTTTTTATAGCTTTTTTTTTTTCCAGAGCTGAGGACCAAACTCAGGGCCTTGCGCCCCCCAGGCGGGCACTTTTCTGCTGAGCTAAACCCCAGTCCCACAACCCTGCCTCTTCAGCACAATAAGACCAAGCCCATGGAAAGTTTCAATTATGTTTTTTGTTGTTTTGGAGCTGGTCCTGGGGCTTGAACTCAGGGCCTAGGCACTGTCCCTTAGCTTTTTTTGTTCAAGGCTAGTGCTCTACCACGTTGAACCACAGCTCTACTTCCAATTTTATGGTGGTTAATAGGAGATGAAAGTCTCACAGCTTTTGTTACCAGGCTAGCTTTGAACCATGAACTTCAGCTCTCAGCCCTCAGCCTTCTGAGTAGCTAGTATTATAGGCATGAGCCATCAGTGCCTGGCTTCCCTGAGCTTTTTTGCTCAAGGCTTGTTTTTGTTTTTGTTTTGTCGGTCGTGGGGCTTGAACTCTGGGCCTGGGCGTTGTCCCTCAGCTCTTCAGCTCAAGGCGAGCCCTCTACCACTTGAGCTACAGTGCCACTTCCGGTTTTCTGGTGGTTTATTGGAGATAGGAGTCTCAGGGTCTCTCCTGCCCGGGCTGGCTTTGAATCGCGATCCTCAGATCTCAGCCTCCTGAGTAGCTAGGATTACAGGCGTGAGCCACCAGCGCCCCGCTAGCTCAAGGATTGTGAGCTAACCACTTGAGCCAAAGTTCCATTTCCAGCTTTGTGTGTGGTTATTTGAAAGTAAGAATTACGTGGACTTTCCTGCCTTGGTTGGCTTTGAACTGCAGTCCACAGAACTCAGCCTCCTGAATAGCTAGGATTATAAGCATGAGCCACAAGTGCCTGGTTTTAGAATTCCAAGTCAGAAATATTGTTGTAAGCAGAGCAGTGACTTCTTCCTAGCAGGTGCTTCATCCCTTAGGGCCTGTTGTCAGAGGAGATGATGATGAAGGTCCCATTCTTTTATGCCTTTGTCCTGAAATGAACAATTCTTGGCCCCCTGTTAGGAAACCAAGTGATGCCTGGAAGAACAGGTATAGTGCACCCCAAACATTGCAGCGCCGGACAGTTAGATGCTGACATTCAACTTGGGCTGAGGATACTTCCATCTGTCCATGGGGGTCTCCCTTCCTGAGTTACTCAGAAGTCTGAGTAATTACTGTTTGACAAGAAGGCGGGTTCAGTACACCCCCCCACATTACACCACAACACCCGCCTACAGCCACCCTCACCTCTTGGCTGGACTCCAAGTCAGTACCCAGCCTTTCCAAAGCCTGAAATAACTACTTGGCTTAATCACTCCACCCAACTTAGCCTGAGATGCTGGCGTTTGTGGGGCAGAGGGTCACAGAAGGCAGCCTGAGAGGGTGCTAAAAGAGGATTGTAGCCGGGCGCTGGTGTCTCACGCCTGTAATCCTACTCAGGAGGCTGAGATCTGATGATCGCAGTTCAAAGCCAGCCTGGACAAGGAAAGTCAATAAGACTCTTATCTCTAATAAACCACCGGAAAACTGGAAGTGGCACTATGGCTCAAGTGGTAGAGTGCTTGCCTTGAGCTGAAGAGCTGAGGGACAGCACCCAGGCCCAGAGCTTGCCCCATGACAAAAAAAAAAGAGGATTGTATTCAAACCTTGATTCACTGATTCAAGATCATACTTTAACACTGGTCTACTGTGTGACACTGAGGAAATAAAGTAGTCTAACCTTTCTGGGCCTTAGCTACAGAGGACCTCTGTAGCTCTTAGTGCCCTAGAGCTTAGCTCTGGTATCTGATCCAGCCAGGCTCAGGCACAAGTGTGGGGTCAGTGCCAAGTTGCATGTGATAGAGGCTAAACAAATGCATCTTGTTGTCACCCCAAGAGGACCTAGCGTAATTATCTAAACAGTATTACTTCCCACCTCTTGTTATTTGCATATTTGCTCCTGCTCCTCCCTGGAATATCTCCCCACCAAGAACTGAGCCCTTAAGGCACATCTTCTGTATTTCCTAATTACTCTTTACCCCCTTAGACAGGGAGCAGAACCTTTCCACACCTCTGTCCCATTCTAAAATGGTATATGGCTCTTTTCATCATCACTATGCCAGCTTCTGGAAGTCTGAATGCTGTCCCCTCATGTCAGCTCCCCAACAAGGCTCAGCATTGTTGGTTTTTCCTTATTTAGTGCTGTTCTTGGGGCTTAAACACATGGCTTGAGTACTGTCCCTGAGCTTTTGTGCTCAAGGCTAGTACTCTGCCATTTTGATCCACAGGCCACTTCTGGCTTTTCTGTTAATTTCCTGGAGATATGTCTGGTAAGCTTTCCTGACAAGGCTGGCTTCGAACCTCCATTCTCAGATCTCAGCCTCCTGAGTAGCTGGTATTATAGGCACGAGCCACCTGTGACCTGTTCCTGCTTGGTTTTCTTCCAAGCACCGCTGTCATCTACTCTATTACTCCTCGAGGACAGAAACCTGTCTTTTTCACTGGCTAAATTTCCACAAATAGTAGTGCCTCACATGCTAAGCCTTCAATAAAATGTGTGTTGAACGAATGAGTTGATCGCCTCTTTTCCTACCTCAAACATTGTCTTATACCAGGCCAGTAGGGGGTGCTGGCCTCTACCCAGGATCTCGCACGGTTTGAGCTTGTCTCACAGTCGGCCCAGTGGGGCCCCTTCGGACCCGCTCGCTAAGCGACGTCCCTCCATTTTTGAGAATCCCCGGGGCGGGCGGGGTCTGTGAGGACCGAGGGAGATCAGAGCCCCCCACCCTTCCCCTCCCCCGACTCCAGGCGGAGATCACCCATCCCAACCTTTACTGGGTCCTTCCTACGGGATTTGCAACCGGACTTCCCCAAGTGCTTGCTGCTTTGTGCCTCTCCCCAACCCGCGCCCTCCACCTCGTCCTCGTCCCCCCCCCCCCCGTCCCCGCCCCAAACAATGTCCTGGGACGCAGGGTGGAGGACGGAGGGTTCTCCCCCGCTGTTCTGGGAAGGGAAGAGCCGTCGAGCCTTGGAGGAGGAAGGGGCGCGGGCCAGGAAGGAGAGGGGCGGGGGGGGGGGTGCGGACTTGTGATCCCGGACTCTGGGTAGCGGACTCCGGGGCGCACGCTTCCAGCCGCCTTTCCCGATGACCTCCAGCTACGAAGGGCGAGCGGGAGGGGGCTGGGCTGCGGGTGCGGGCTTCTCCAAGAAGCCTGCGGGGCCGGGGAGGGCATTTGGGGGTGGCCCGACGACCCGCCTAGGGGCTGGGACAGGTACTTGGACGGACGTGGACGGAGGATGGTCCCCGGGGGCGGGCACCGCGAAAACACCTTGGGAGGCGGCGCCGCACGGCTGAGCGCCGCTGCCCTGGGAATAGGACGGCGCTCGGCACCGCGAGCTGAGAGCACTTTCATAAATTTTGTATGGGAGGCGCTCCGTGAGCGGGGGCGGGGAGCGGAGCGGGAGGGAGGGAGCTAGCGAGCGAGCGAGGGAGGGAGGGAGGAGGAGAAGAGGTGGGGGAAGCCGGGGGAGAGGAAGGGAGGCGCCCCGCTCCGCCGATCGCTCGGTCCTGCAAACGCGCGCCGGGCGCTTTCCCCGGAGCTCGGCTGTGCGTTCGAGCGCCCTTTTGCAGCAGCCGCGGCGGCGGCTGCCCGAGGGGGCGGTGAGGAGGGGGCCGCGGCCGGCCGGCCGGGCTGGGGGAGGGGGGCGGTGTCCACCCTCAAAACCGCCTGCAAAGTGCTCGGGGCGGCAGAAGCAGGCCGCCGGCTCCGCGGAGCCAGCCGCTCGCCCCCGGGGGCTGGGAGAGCGCACGGGGTTGGTTGGCAGTGCCGCGGTTGCTGGCGGGCGCCGGTGCCCTCGGCGCGAGGGGCTTGGGCTCACCATGCCCCAGCGGGGCCGGGCCGCCGGGCATAAGCGGATCCCCGGCTTGCCCCCGCCTCGGAGCACTCGGATTAGCTGCAGCTGGCGCCCGGGGATTTGAACGTGGACCCCGGGAGGGAGCGCACCTAGGCCGACCTCGAAGCGGCGGCCCCGCGGCCAACATGCTTCGCAAAGGTGAGGTGGAACGGCAGGGGCAAGTTGGAGTTGGAGGCGCACGGGGCAGAGCCGGCAGCACGGGAGCTGTCCAGCACCGAGGATCGGGGCGGGGAAGCAAAACCCCCGACGAGCTGGCTGGCTTTGTCTGTCGCGCCCGCCCAGGGGCTGCTGCTGGAGCTCTTTCCCCATCGGTGGCCTGCGGCGAGAACGCGGGCTTTGCTCCGTGAATCGAGAGCCAGGCCTGGGGATCGAGCTCGGAGGGTCGGTCTGAGACCAGAGTGAGCGGCCTGTGTAAAAGGGGAGCTGGCCTCCTGGGACCTTTGCTTTGCCAATATAAAGTTTTGCACTTGCAGGCTCCATGCATGTCCTGCGCGGGCACCCGCCCCAGCTTCTGCCGCTTGGTGGGGCCAGGTCCAGCCCGAGCTCCAGTACAGCCGGCGGTCAGTCACCGCGCAGCCCCCGCGCTCACCGCGTGCCCTGGGGCTCGCCATGCGCGGCCGGGACGCGGGCACCTTCCCAGCAGCCCTGGTCGATCCCCAGGGACGAGCTCTTGGAGAGTGTCCACTGAGGGCGGGGAGTGGCAAGCGCCTCTAGTCCGGCTCCCCAAACTTTCCCAAGGCTTGGATCGCGAGGACGCGGAGACGAAAGCCGTGCCGCGCCGGCAGGGTGCGCGGCCCGAGCCAGGCTCAACTTGAGAAGCGCTGGTTCCGCAACCACCTTGCCTGGACTCCCCGGCAGCCCCGCCTGAGACTGCGCGCGGCAAAGTTACTGCGGGAGCCGGGGAAGTCCTGCCGCGCCCCCACGTGGTTGCCGCGCGGGGTGCGGTCCCTCGGGCCCCAGGAGGGCAGGTAACCACGCCGTGAGCCCGGGGACTCGCTACCCGTAGCATTTGTCTCTACGTTTGCCTCTCCCCCTAGCCACGTCCCAGCGGGGCTGTGGCGCCTAGCTGGGACCCCCCCCCCCCCCGCCCCAGTACCAGGCCTGGGCGGGGAGGGGGGCGCGAGGCGCAGCGCCTGGCGGCTGTCGGCTCCGGCCCTGCGGGAGCTCGTTGAGGCGGGAGCTCAGGTAGCGGAGGGGCCTGATCCCTACGCTCCGTGCTCCAGCCTTAATCCGCCCCTGTTTCCATGGCAACAGGCCGAGGTGTCGTAAGCACCGGATTCTGACCTCACAGCGGGATGGGGAAGGAGAAAACGGGCAGGGGGAGGTGGTTCTGAAGGTGGGGAGAAGTGAAGCCCGGTGATGGGCGGAGAGAAGCAGATATGGGATGATGGAGGAGACAGATAAGCAGGTCAGACAGGTGGGTGAAAAAAAAATCATCACGCCTTTTATGGGGGCAGGAAAGACTGAGTGATGGGCCGGCTTTGGGCCAACCAGTTGGTTGCTTAATTGTACAGGGATAGTCACAAACTTGTGTGTGACTTGTGCCCTCCACGTGGGTTGGTGCGGAACAAGGGTGCGGGGGAGACTGGCTGCATTTCAGTGTGGTGTGGAAAAAGTCTCTATGGCTAGTTGGAGAAACCGTTTCACTGTTACACCCCAGTTCCTTTCCCTGCAGAAAGGCACAGAAAATCCTTTCAGCAGCCTATCTGTACTGGCCAGATTGTCTGCACCCAGATAGTGCTTTTTACGCCTGAGAACAGGCCCAAGGCTGAGAAGCTTGGGCCTGGAGTATGCAAACTTGCCCAAGTGGGGAAGGCTTTCCAGGCAGTTTTAAGAGGCCGCCATGTCTGGGCTGCAGGTCTGTGATAGAGATAATAGGGAAGAACTGACATCTTATTTCCCTTTTGGTCTTTTGTCTTTTGGCAGTGTACAGTTAAAAATGAGCCATGAAGCAGCCAACACACTTTCTTCATGTGGTTTAGGTGCCCAGGGAGGCTCCAGCAGCCTCCAAGAGCTCTCTTGGTTACCCTTTCTAGCCAGAGGCCCAGCTCAAGAGTAACCCAATGCATTCTGGGGGCTGCTCCCTGGGGCGGGGAGGCTCCTTATTCTTGCTCTAGAGGTAGCCACTGGAGGCTTGGCAGTCACGTGTGTTTGCTGTTTTTCCCTTCCTTGCACAGCCTGGTTGGTGGGAGAGGTTCCACCTGCAAAGATGTTTGCACCTGGATTAGCCTGGGGGAAATGGAGTAGAGAAGGCCTTATCTAGCATTGGCCTTGGGTGGCCTGGAGCTTGCTGCTGGGACCTAGTGTGGACAAATGACTTTTGTTTTGGTCCTTTCCTGGGCAATTTCCTCTTAGTCTCTGATCTGATCCTTTGGATTTATCCCTTCTGCACACATGTAGAGTACGCCCAGATTATCTGTGGGGATTCTCAGGTATGTGCCCAAAGCTGAAAGCATGCCTCAGGCTAATGCCAAGAGAGCTGGCCATTGAAGTTTGTTTCTGGAATTGTTTCCATAGGCTCCAAACCGCACTGTTGCAGAACATAGGTTGGTATAGTTGTTGCCTACCGGATGCAAAGCCCTACATGGGGTCCATGGCCTGAGTGAGTGTAATAGTTTGATTTGAAAAAGGATTTGAAGGATGAAGAACACATAGCCCTCCCTAGATCCTGAGAGTATGGGGAGGAATAGGTTTTGGACCATGAAAGTTATCTCTCTACCTCTAGAACCACTTCTGGCTTTTGGGTGGGTAATTGGAGATAAAAGTCTCTCAGGCTTTCCTGCCCCAGCTGGCTTCAAACATCAATCTTCAGATCTCAACCTCCTTGGTAGCTAAGATTACAGACATGAGTGGCCAGTCCCTAGCTCTTTCTGATTGTCCTATGAAACATGTCACCTGGAAGGCTGTTTCAGGGGTAGTTGAGGGTACTGTCTTTGCCTCTCTTAATGAATGGACTTTACTGGCCACAGCCCTACCTCTGTGACCGGAAGAGCCCTGGTGGGATCTAGCTGCTGACAGTGCTGGTAGCTGTAGGCTTCAGCAGCTGCTGTACTTGCTCTTCCATCTCCTGGCATGCCCTGGCAGAATCAGGGATATAAAAAGCAAGCCTCTAGTTGAGAGAGATGAGAGGCAGGCAGGGCAAGCAAGGCCTGGAGCCATCCAGCAACATCCAGGAAGGAAGGGCAGCCTGCTGGGGGCTTTGCTTTGCCAGAGCAACCTGCTTAAGGTTAGGATCTATGGTTTTCATTTTTAGAGCTATAAAAACAGAATGCAAATCAAGAGCCTCTGGGCTAATACAGAACCTTTCCTTAAAGTTTTTGTCTTGTTAAGCAAGGAAATAGAGTGCCAAATAGGCTTTGTTAAGTGGCAGTCTAATTAATAATTTAAAATCTTGTAGCTGTCTTTCATTAGAATTTATCTGTACATCAACCACAAAATCAGTCAAACATATTCATTTATAAGTTAATGCCATCCCTTAATAATTCAGCAAGAGCTAGAGTAAGGCCTGCAACCCAGTATGATACATTTTGTTTTCTTGGTTTCCGATAACCAGATGGGCTTATCTAGTGACTGAATTGGACTTCTCCCTTGTGAGAAGAAGAAAAAGTAGAATGAGGGGCCATGATATTATCAGGTGTTCAGTAGATTTGAATCTAGAGGTTCCCTAGCTGATGGGACAGTCTCCCTGTGGACAGGTGCAAGCAGGCAGCATCTCTGTATCTCTTTGAAACCAAATAAGATTCATGGCTGTTGATAATATGGCCCTTTTTAGCTCCAGTAAGGAGAAGAGTGTTCATGGACAACCATGATACTGATTTCTGCTGTGGAAAAAGCATGAAGAGAAATGCAAGAGCCTTTATCCAAGAGAGCTAAGACATGAGGCTTTTTAGTGTAAGTCCAAGTGCAGAAGTGGAATTTCAGACCCTACAGACCATTTCTGTCTAGATAAAGAAAAGTAGACCAATAGAACCAATGTCACCAAAATGCTTCCTTCATCATCTTGTGTGTGTGTGTGTGTGTGTGTGTTGGTACTGGGGCTTGAACTCTGGCTCTCTCTTGGCTATTTTTTTTTTTTTTTTTGTCGGTCGTGGGGCTTGAACTCTGGGCCTGGGCGCTGTCCCTCAGCTCTTCAGCTCAAGGCAAGTGCTCTACCACTTGAGCTACAGTGCCACTTCCGGTTTTCTGGTGGTTTATTGGAGATAGGAGTCTCACGGTCTCTCCTGCCTGGGCTGGCTTTGAACTGCGATCCTCAGATCTCAGCCTCCTGAGTAGCTAGGATTACAGGCGTGAGCCACCAGCGCCCGGCTTCTCTCTTGGCTTTTTTGCTCGACTGGTACTCTACTACTTTAGCCACACCCCCACCTCCAGATTTTTGGTAATTAATTGGAAATAAGAGTCTCTCAGATTTATCTGCCCAAACTGACTTCAAATGACAATCCTCAGCTCTCAGCCTCCTGAGTAGCTAGGATTACAGGTGTGAGCCATCAGTGCCTGGCCATCATTAACTTCTGATTCGCTGCCTCTTTCCTCAAAACTCCTGGGCCTTAGTCTAGAAAAAAAAAAAACGAGAAGGAATTTTAGGGGAGTAGTAGGACAGCCCAGAAGAGAAAAAGTTGTTAAGAAAAGGCCTTACAGGGCTGGGAAGGTGGCTCAGTGGTAGAGCGCTTGTCTTGCATGCATGAGGCCCTGGGTTCGATTCCTCAGCACCACATAAGCAAAAAGAAAAAAGCCGGAAGTGGCATTGTGGATCAAGTGGTAGAGTGCTAGCCTTGAGCTGAAGAGCTGAGGGACAGCGACCAGGCCCAGAGTTCAGGCCCCATGACCGGACCCAAAAAAAGAGAAAAGGCCTTACATTTGGGACTGGGAGGTTAGCTCAGTGGTAGAGTGCTTGCCTTGCATGTATGAGGCCCTGAGTTTGATTCCTCAGTACCACATAAGTAGAAAAAGCTGGAAGTGGCATTCTGGCTCAAGTGGTAGAGCACTGGCCTTTTGCTGAAATGCTGAGGGACAGCACCCAGGCCCTGAGTTCAGGCTCCCTGACCAACAACAAAAAAAAGCCTTGCATTCATAGCCACATCTGCAGCTAGAATAAAGGCCAAGACAGAAGCATAGCATTCCCCTGTGAGTTCAGACTATGT